ACAGTTGCTTTACCGCCCATGTATTCGGGGTGGTCTTGGTCTCCCAAACTATCATTACTATATTTCGGCCCAAGTTACTCCCCTTATTCAGCTTTTTTCTCTCAAGGACTTACCCTTGTGGGCACTGATAGATACTTTGGACACACATCCCCTTTTGCCTTCAGCCTTGCCCTAGCTTCCTCCGTCCTCGCGGCCTAAACTGTTGAATCTTGTCCTGACTCACTCTTTTGTGAAGGACTTGTGTACGTATTCGGCGGGTCTGCTTTCCCCGCATTTACATGTTTTACAATTATTCGACTGTCCGCTTTTCCCCCCAGGGGACTCTAATAAGATAGACTTTCGTTGGTGGATAACTCACGGTTTTAGGTCAGTTCACTGGTTAATCATGGGTCCAGGTATGCGTACGTTTGCACAGCTTCGAGAGAGTCATGCTATTCTTCCATCGGAGTTATTTCATTATTTGCAATTACGTCATTTTGTTGCACCTTTCATTCGTAGACAGGATTCCCCCCGCACCTTTACTGGTTTTGAATCGCTTTGTAAGGCATTGGCTTCCACTAAAGGTGCCCTATCTCAAATTTATTTACCAATCCGGAATCATATGGCTGTACTTCTACCTGCTTACTGTGCTCGTTTTACCACGAAACTCACTAATCTATGACGTGTTGGGTTTTGCTTCTCCATTCCCCTTATGAGCAGATGCAGCCCTGACCGCTCTGCACATTCCTGGCAACCTAGGGGGCGGCAAGATGGCAGACGGCACCGGCTCCCAGAGCTTTTCAGCAGCAGAGGGGACGCAGCCTCCTCCACAGCGGCCCAACTCCTCTTCTCCAGTCCTGGGACACACAGTGACAGCTCCCCTGGCTCCTGTGAGTGTCCATTCTGCTCCCTCTAGCGCTGCCAGGTCCACTGCTCAGGCTGCGGCCTGTCACCAGGCCATGACTCCCAGGCTTCTTCCCTGCTAGACAGGGAAATGACCGACAATCACCAGCTAAATTAGCAGTCATGATTCAGTTCCTGACGGTTCTGCGGACTCTCCTGCTTATCCATCTGTGTCCCCGCACTACTCAGGGACTCCGTTCTTATTGCTCGTTTTGCTGATTTACTTCAGAGAGAACTGGAAAAAGCTACCATTAAACTGGCCTCTGATCTAAAGCAGGATTTCAGGGAGATCAGAAATTGCCTGGAAAACATTGAATCTAAAGTCCATGATACAGTTCAGAGTGTCTTAGAATTCTAACAGGATTGCTGACCTACAAGACCGCCTGGACGAAGCTTATTCGAAAATAGATGATCTTGAGAACCGCACCCGCCGGTACAATTTCCGGATTAGAGACCTACCGGAAACAGTATAAGGGAATGGGCAACTGAGGCAATATCTTTGACCAACAGCAGTGCCAGATGCCGACGAAAGCCACACGGAAACAGGTCATATCCATAGAGCTCTGGTCCCCTTAAAACCAGATGGGGGCCCCCTCGGGATGTTATCGTTAAACCGAATTTTTTCAGAATTAAGGAGGCGGTGATGCGATACGCCAGGGAATATCCAGATTTGGAAATTGATGGGTACGAGATTCAAGTCAAGTCTTTGCAGATATTTTTCAAGCTACTATACAAAAAAGGAGGGCGTTCAAACCGTTGCTTTCACCTTTAATTCAACGGGACATTTGTTATCAATGAAACAATCTGTTTCGCTTACAATGGCAAATCCTACACCTTTTCTACATTCTCTGAAGGAGAAAAACTTTTGTTGAGCTTGGGCTTCATTTCCCTTAGCCCCTCCCCAAGGAACCAATCCAAAGCTGATGGCCCTCCTCCCCCGCTGCAGAGGGTAAACTCGGGCACCCCGGACGTAGTCTCCTATCCGCGTGTTCTATCCCAGATTGACAGTCTGGGATAGAACACGCCATCGGAAATCATTAGCCTCCTCGCATACTCCTTTAGCCCCTGTTTTTTGTAACCCTGAATTTGTACCTGGTCTAGTTCTGGCCCCATTCCAGTGGTGGATCAACAAGGGGTACTGCAGATAGGAGACTACCTCCGGGGTGCCCGAGTTTAAACTCTGCAGCACTTTAAAGAGAAACTGCCGATGCCTCCCACTGAAATCTTTAGATATAATCAAATCGCCTCTTTTATCCACTCAAATTATTTTACTAGATGGACCAATAATTCTTACCAATTTCGAAGTCTCCTGTCTGAATACAAATCTCTCTAAAGGCTGTATTTCTATGGAGTATGCCCTATATTTAACCTTATCTACACGGTGACGGGGGTGAATGTTCGTAGGGCCCCAGAGATGGCTCTCTTCCATAAATTTCCACTTACTATACCAAAAAAAAAAAAAAAAAACCCCTTAAAATACTTACTTATATGCGGTTAGCAGCGAGAATCACTACTGCTAAATATTGGAAGAGATCAATTATTCTACTTGACATTGGCGTAAGGCCAATGTGGTGCCAATATTTAAAAAGGGGTCAGAATCTTTACCAAGTAATTATAGACCTGTCAGTTTAACTTCTATAGTTGGGAAGATACTGGAGAGTTTAATAAAAGACCACAGAGGAGTACCCCAAGGTTCAGTGTTGGGACCCTTACTTTTTAATATATTTATAAACAATATAGGGTCTGGGATTAAAAATCCCATTTCAGTGTTTGCAGATGACATCAAGCTGTGCAGTGGAATAACGTCCTTACAGGATGTCTTCAACTTACAAGCCGACCTCAATGCTCTGTTTAATTAGGCAACTATGTGGCAAATGAGGTTTAATATTGATAAATGTAAGGTTATGCACTTGGGGGCTAAGAATATGCATGCATCATACCTACTAGGGAGGGTACAATCGGGGGAATCAATGGTGAAGGATCTGGGAGTTCTGGTAGATCACAAGCTTAATAATGGCATGCAACGCCAAGCTGCGGTTTCTAAAGTGAGCAAAATCCTCTCTTGTATTAAAAGAGGTATAGACTGCAGAGAGAGAGAGATATATTACCCTGCTACAAATCATGAGTAAGGCCTCATCTGCAATATGCAGTTCAGTTTTGGGCACCAATTCACAAAAAGAACATTGGGGAACTGGAGAAAGTACAGAGAAGGGCAACCAAACTGATAAGAGGCATGGAGGAGATCAGCTATGAAGAAAGATTAGAGGAACTGAATTTATTCTCTCTTGAGAAGAGGAAATTAAGGGCGGATATGATCAACATGAATAAATACATTAGTGGTTCATATAGTGAACTCGGTGTAGAGCTATTCACTCTGAAGTCATCACAGAGGACAAGGGGGCACTCTTTATGTCTGGAGGAAAAGAAATGTAATCTCCAATCATGGAAAGGTTTCTTCACAGTGAGAGCTGTGAAAATATTGAATAGACTCCCTCAAGAGTTGGTTCTGGCCAGCTCAGTGGATTGCTTTAATAAAGGCCTGGATTCTCTCTTGGATACACAGAATATAACTGGATACTAACATTTATAGGTAAAGTTGATCCAGGGAATATCAGATTGCCTCTCGGGGGATCAGGAAGGAATTTTTTCCTCTGCAGGAGCAAATTGGTTCATGCTTTGGTTTTTTTGCCTTCCTCTGGATCAACTGTGGGTATAGGATTATAACTTTTTTTTTTAATGATTGAACTGAACAGACTTTTTTCTTTTTTCAGCCAGACTAACTATAACTATGTTGAGCACAAATTAAATTGGATCATGATTAATGACAGACTCACCTGTGTTCTACACAATAATACTAACAAATTTGATAAAACGTGGGACCCGGGGATTCAATACATTTCCATGCCTTGATACTTCCCGATTTGACCCTCTTTTTCGTCTCTCGTTCTTGTTCCTCTTACTTTTTACTGTCTTTTTTGTCGGTTTTCTGGTGCTAGCTGAATTTATTTTTTATTCGTTCTACAATATTAGTCATGTTTTCTACAATGCTTGTTCTGTGCATGTGTTTCCTACTACTGCTTCCCCTGTACATGTTGGATTTATTGCTGGGAACTTTCTGTTTGATCTACCCAGTTGTTATTGCACAGATTTTCTGGTTTCCTAAGGTATGTCTGTTTGTTCAACCAATTGTTCTTTGGTAATGTTTGACACCTTCTTTTATAACATGACATTTGTCTTTTGCACTATTTGTAACTCAAAATATTTCAATAAAAACTATTGGAAAATAAAAATTATGATTTAAATAGTCTTTTCACTAGTGATTTAAATCAAATCCACCCTGCTCGAGGACCACAGATAAGTGTTTTCCGCCCCAGCACCTAGGGGAAGTAGAGAAGAGGGGCGGTGATGCCACAATCTTCACCTTTTGCACATTGAAAAAATACAAGGTGTTCTGTTAATGGTGGCAGTGCCGAAAAAGTGACCCCCTGTGTTATATATGTCATGTGACAGATAACTCTGGCAATTGCTGTAGTAGCGGCGACTATTATAGTCATTGTCAGCTTCCCCAGCAGGGAGTTAAGTATGAGTTATGAATACTTACACAGGTGCAAGCGGGGTCAATACAATAATGCAATTAAGCTCATAACTGGAGACCAGCTTTACCTGTCCATTATCTTCCAGGCACTGAAATATCAGTTCTGGGTGAATTGGCCCGCTAAGTTGCAAGATATTGCTACAAGATTGCCTTCTATGATTTTTGTGCATTGAATCCTGCCAGTTTCAAACTAATACTCTGAGCTAACTGACTTTAGTATTCTTCAGGCCAGGAGATGCCAAAGAGTAATTTTAGTTTTGTAGCCAAGTTTACTCTGAGCCAAAGCCAGACAGACAGGGACCAAAAGCAAGGGGAGGGAATTAAAAAGTCACACCTACAGCACAGCGAGAGGTCCCATATTTCACTAGGCTCAATAGTTAAGCAAGAACTGCTTGCACACAACAGGGGAGGAGGAAGTACAGGATCTGTCATATTACGACTCAGACAACATTTAAGTGAGTATTTACAGACGTGTCCTAGATAAAAACAGTCAATGTTACAGACAAGGATGGAGGGACCTTACCAATTGGGAATCGAATAACTTCATAGTAATCTGGGGCTTCTGACTTTTTCACTGGTTCCATGAACGGCCAAGCGCTTGGGTGTGCCTGATTAAAAAAAAAAAAAAAAAAAATGCATCACACCAATAAGTTTAGCCTAATTCCACACAATCAATTTTTGCTGCATCTCAGTCAAAAATAGCCTTTTGTGTAACACATATATGCTTTGCAAATGGGTACAATAGGCTTTTTGTATTCACAGTAAAATTCTTTTCTCAGAGTCCCCAGAAATTTTTAAAGCAGTAGCAAACCTCATAAAAAAATAATTTAAAAAAGCCACAAGGTGGCCCCCGCACAGGCTCATGTCATGATGTGCTAGTATGCACCTCATACTAGCACATTACGACAGACTTGCCTAAAAAAAAATAGAAAAATAAAAAAATATCCATCCAGTGGCACACAGTAACCAGGGAGTCCATCTTCACCCGGTCTTCCTTCCAGGTTTTCGCAAGCTCCAGTCGTTTGTATGGCTGAGCAGCGATGACATGCTGAAAATTGGTTCTTGAACGTGCTCCATCATTTGACCTGAACTGTATCCAGGATTAGACCCAGCTACTCTACAGTGTTCCTGTCACAGGATAAATTTTAGAGACTCTGGTCTTAGATTTGAACTCTCTCCAACCCAGGAGTGATCTTTTTCTGCTATTGCATCAGAGTCTCAGGCTTTAAGATAATCTCCTTTATGAGGCAGTTTTCTATGCTTTTTAGATACATGCTTCGTTTGTATGTTTTTATTATTTTTTACTCTTTACAATAAACCTTGGATGATGCACTAGGTGTGTGCGCCACCGGTTTTCTCTTTACACATCTGATTGCACCTACTGTTCCCTCGCTGGGACACTGTTCAGCTATCCCACAATGGGGATGCCACAAAAGCACAGGAGGGGAAATACTGGGGTCAATGCTCTGGTGACTAGCCAAGGTGCAGACTAGAGGCTAAAGGGCGCAGGGACGCTAACTGGTAGTGCAGGGGCCCCACAGCACAAAGTAAACATTGTGCACAAGCATTGTGTGAGACCTTCATACAACAATAAAAACATATACATTTTAATATTAATTAAAAAAAAAATAAAAAATCTGGAACTCAAAATGTCCTTTATACACTCACTATATCACATGACCACTTCCTGCCCATCTGCCAGCAATGTATTGCAGACAGTGTAGGCACAGAGATGTACCTGTACGTCGCTACCCACTTCTGGGTTTAGGGCGTGTGAATGCATGCCCCCTGGCTAGCACCCGCTGTGATTGTATACAGCAAGAGCCTGTCAGCAAATGGGGATGCCACAAAAGCACAGGAGGGGGGAATACTGGGGTCAATGCCCTGGTGACTAGCCAAGGTGCAGACTAGAGGCTAAAGGGCGCAGGGACGCTAACTGGTAGTGCAGGGGCCCCACAGCAAAAAGTAAACATTGTGTACAAGCATTGTGTGAGACCTTCATACAACAATAATAAAAACATATACATTTTAATATTAGTTAAAAAATAAATAAAAAAATCTGGAACTCAAAATGTCCTTTATACACTCACTATATCACATGACCACTTCCTGCCCATCTGCCAACAATGTATTGCAGACGGTGTAGGCACAGAGATGTACCTGTACGTCGCTACCCACTTCTGGGTTTAGGGCGTGTGAATGCATGCCCCCTGGCTAGCACCCACTGTGATTGTATACAGCAAGAGCCTGTCAGCAAATCCTGGCCAGTGATTCACGGCTGGGACCTGCTGATCAGGGATGAGAAACTAAAAATCCATTAGTAAAAGCACCACACTTTACACACACTACACATAGTTAGGGACACATATAATTCCCAGATCACCCTGGATGTAAACCCCTTCCCAGCCAGTGTCATTAGTACAGTGAGTGTATATTATGATCACAGATAACTGTATAAACCAGTTTATGGCCGCCCCATAGCAGATTTACTACTACAGCACAGCCTTCCTGTGCAGAATCACGTATATAAATGGGATTCTGCACTTCCTGGTGTAGTGGGCGCATGTGCACCCCCAGCGCGTCGCTTCTGCTGTGATTTGTCACAGCAGAGGCCTATCAACAGGTGCTGGCCAATGGATCAGCGCCGACACCCTTTGATTGCCAAGAAGACTAACAGGACATATACTATACTGTCAAAAGTAATGGGACACCCCTCCAAATAACTGGATTCAGGTGTTCCAATAACCTCAATGGCCACAGGTGTATAAAATTAAGCACCTTTCATTTGTGAAAGAATGGGTTGCTCTCAGCTCAGTGAATTCAAGCGTGGTAGCGTGATAAGTTGCCACCTGTGCAATACGTCCATCCATGACATTTCCTTGCTACTAAATATCCACGGTCAACTGGTAGTGGTAATATAACAAAGTGGAAGCAACTGGGAACAACAGCAACTCAGCCACAAAATGGTAGGCCACATAAAATGACAGAGTGGGGTCAGCGCATGCTGAAGCAAACAGTGTGCAGAAGTTGCTAACTGTCTGCAGAGTCAATAGCCAAAAAGACCTTCAAACTTCATGTGGCCTTCAGATTAGCACAACAATGCGTAGAGAGATTCATGGAATGCATTTCCATGGCTGAGCATCTGCACCCAAGCCTTACATCACCAAATGCAGTGCAAAGAGTCGGATGCAGTGGTGTAAAGCATAACGCCACTGGACTCTAGAGCAGTGGAGACGTGTTTTTTTGAGTGACGAATTACGCTTCTGTCTGGCAATCCGATGGGCGTACCTGGGTCTGATGGTTGCCAGGAGAACGGTACTTGCCTGACTGCATTGTGCCAAGTGTAAAGATTGGTGGAGGGGGGATTATGGTGTGGGGTTGTTTTTCAGGGTTGGGCATGGCCCCTTAGTTCCAGTGAAGAGAACTCTTGAGGTGTCAGCATACCAAGACATTTTGGACAAATTTCATGCTCCCAACTTGTGTGGGGAACTGTGTCAAATGCTTTTGAAAAATGCAAGTATACCACATCCATCGCCACCCCTCTGTCCAAGATTTTGCTCACCTTCTCATAAAAAGAAATCAGATTCGTTTGACAACTTCTGTCTTTCATAAATCCATGCTGTTTGTTGCTTAAAATATTTTTTTCTAACAAGAACTCATACTTATTTAGGGTGGCGTGGAACTGGTTAATGTCACTGGTGATGTCAGTCAGTTCCCCCAGTGGCAGATTGCCAACCGTACTATCACAGTCCCATTATAAATCGCTGATTACCGCCATTGGTAGTATAAAAATAAATAAATATACACTTATTGGAATTTTATTTATCAAATACATGCAGCAGAATACATTTTGGCTAAAATGTATGAAGAAATTAAATTTTTTTTTCTATTTTTTTTTTACTGGATATGTAAAGTCTTCACAGGACTGAAATTGAGCCCTGCAGTCACTTTTGCAGCAGATGTTTCCTTATGCCAGGTCACAATCCTGCGCAATGTCTTTTTGTCTCTGACAGTTGACTATGTAGACCGCTCTTATGCTTATCAGACGATGTTTTCCTGGAAACTGTATATGCGGTCATAATATTTGATACAGCACCTCGTCACATGGCAAATAAATTGGCAACTTCAGTCACAGAGGCACCAGCTTAGCGAACACCAACAATTTGCCTTCTTTGAAGCTCAGTAAGCTCTGGTATGAATGTATTACTAGCAGCACACGCAGTGAATGACGAAAGTGAGGCTTCCTACCAGTTAGCTAGGGGTCTCATCACACAGTAGAAGCAAAAGAATGTTACATCACTTCCACTTTCAACACGAAACCATGTTGTCACTTTCACATCTGCAAATCATGTAGTGTTTCCATTTTTTGTCTAACCCCTGTATTTCATCTTTATAGCAGGTAAAATAAGTATTGAGCACGTCACCATTTTTCCCAGTAAATATTTCCTCAAAGGTACTATTGACATAAAATTTTCACGTCGGTACCAACCCATGCAATCCATACATACAAAGAAACCAAAACAAATAAGTTCAGAAATTACGTTGTGTGCAATAAAATGGAATGATACAGGGAAAGTATTAAACACAGAAAGGGAGGTGCAAAAAAGGCATGGAAAGCCAAGACACCATCTGAAATCTATCAGTAATTAGAAAGCAATCCTGCCCCTTGTCACTGAAAATTAATATCAGCTGGTTCAGTCTCAACTGATGGCCTATAAAAAAAGGTGTCTCATTACCAAGGTGTCACACAAGAAACATCTCATGATGGGTAAAAGCAAAGAGCTCTCTCAAGACATGTATTGTTGCAAAACATACTGATGGAATTGGTTACAGCAATTTCTAAACTTCTGACTGTTCCAGTGAGCGCTGCTTGGGGCCATAATCCAAAAGTACAAAACATAATTTCACCATAAACCAGTCATGACCAGGTGCTCCTCACAAGATTTTTGACAGAGTGATGAGAATTATCAGAAGAGTTGGCCAAATCCAAGGACCACTTGTGGAAATTTTTCAAAAGAAAACAAGTAATGCACTCAACCGTCATGGCCTGTATGTACGCACGCTCACCACGCAAGACTCCATTGCTGAAGAAAAAGCATGTTGAAGCTCGTTTAAAGTTTGCTGCACAACATTTAGACAAGCCTGTGAAATACTGAAAGAATATAGTCTGGTCAGATGAGAGGAAAATTGAACACTTTGGATGCCATAATGCACACCATGTTTGGAGGACAAATGGTATGGTTTTTTTGGGGTGATGTGCAGTGCCAACAGTGAAGTTTGGAGGTGGGAACATCATGGTGTGTGGCTGTTTCATCATACGGTACTGGCAAACTTCATGTTATTGAAGGAAGAATAAATGGAAAAATGTACCAAGACATTCTTGATAAAAATCTGCTACCATCTACCGGGATGAAGATGAAATGAGGGTGGACATTTCAGCAAGACAATGATCTCAAAACACAAAGCCAAGGAAACTCACTTGGTTTCAAACAAAGAAAATAAAGCTGCTAGAATGGCCCAGCCAATCACCTGACTTGAACTAAAGATCAGAGTTCAGAGAAAAGGCCTATGGAACCTTCAAGATTTGAAGACTGCGAAAGAATGGGAAAAATTACACCTGAGCAATGCATGTGACTAGTTTCTCTATACAGGAGGCGTTCTGAAGCTGTCATTACCAACAAAGGATTTTGTACTAAGTATTAAAAAATTTCAGTTAGCGTGTTCAATACTTTTTCCCTGTGTCATTCCATTTTATTACACATAACTTGAACTGATTTCTTTTAGTTTCTTTGTATATACACCATGTTCCAAATTATTATGCAAATGATATTTTTCTCATTTACCTAAATAATTGATGTAAATAACAATTCTCATGTTATCAACTATTAAGAGTACAAATCACATAGAATAAGATATCAGGAAGATGGTTTAGGAAGGAGGATACCCAACTGAGAGATGTTTTGGTGGAGGGGGGAACTGAGATCACTTAAAGAGTTAATAGAGAAGAAGGGAGACATTTTATTAGAATAGATGAGTGGAAATATCATCAATTGAAAAGTTTTATTGGAAATCTACCGAATCCTTTGAGAATAAAACAGGAGTGGAATATGTTTGAAAGGTTGTTAGAGACACGAAGGGATGGGAAGCACGGTATTTCAAAAGTGTATAGAATACTCACAGAATTAGACACAAATACAAAGTTAATCTTTATGACAAAATGGGAAAGAGATATGGGAGTTGGGTTTGATGAGGATAGACAGAGAAAGATGTTTAGATTGATACACGATAATGTTAGTATGAGAGAGGTTGAGGTTAATTATAAGTGTGTGACACGATGGCACATTACACCGAGTGTAGAGCACAAGATGAACGGGGAAAATTCAAATATGTGCTGGAGAGGATGTGGAGAGATAGGCACGGTGTTTCACATATGGTGGGAATGTCCGAAAATCCAGGCTTTTTGGAAGATAATAGTCAAGTTGATTGAAGAAATAACTGAAATTGACATAGGGTTAGACCCAACGACGTGCCTCCTACACAATGTGGAGACGTCTGTAAATAAATATAAAGATTCAGGTATTTGGTACTTCTTGAATGCAGCGAAAGGGTTGATACCCAAGTTTTGGCGGAAAGCTGAGGTACCGAAGGAGGTAGACTGGATTAATAGAGTAAACCAGATAGGTAGAATGGAAAGATCATACCATATGCAGGAAGATAGGATGAGAGTTTATTTCAGGAGATGGGAAAAGTGGGAAAGAGCAGGATTGAAAGAGAAATATAGGACAATATGAACTAGGATGTTAACAAAAAAATTAATAAGCCTCAAGAGATTAGAATGGGCTAGAGTCTGCAGAGGGGGAGGAGGGGTGGGAGGGGGGGGGTAGTGGGACGGGAAAGAAAAGAGTTTTTAGAAAGGGAAAGGTAGAAATGTAATAAATGTCTATTTGTATGAGAATTATTTCCCTTTTTGGGTTTTTGTATTAACATGAAAAATTTAATAAATATTTAAATTAAAAAAAAAAAAAAAAAAAAAACAAATCACATTTTATTGAACAAACCTCCTAATGATAACAGTATTTTTTTTTTTAAACATAAAACACTTCCAATGCACTGTTCCAAATTATTATGCACAGTAAATTTCAAAACACTTTATAGGTTGTAAAGAACTGAAAATTGTCTTTTGTTGTGTTTGTAGCATATTTACTGAAATCAAAAGCGATTTCAATCAAACTTTTAACAACATTTTAAATTTTTAAACATTTTAACAGGTCATGTTACATTTTAAAATAGGACCCCTTATTTGATAGCAGCTTCACAAGTCTTGCATCCATTGAACTTGTGAGTTTTTGGACAGCTTCTGCTTGAATTTGTTTGCAAGATGTCAGAATAGCCTCCCAGAGCTGCCGTTTGGATGTAAACTGCCTCCCACCCTCATAGATCTTTTGCTTGAGGATGCTCCAAAGGTTCTCAATAGGATTGAGGTCAGGGGAGGATGGAGGTCACACCATGACTTTCCCTCCTTTTATCACCATAGCAGCCATTGATGCAGAGGTATTATTTGCAGCATGAGATGGTGCATTGTCATGCATGAAGATGATTTTATCACGGAAAGCATAGTTCTTCCTTCTGTACCAGGGAAGAAAGTGGTCAGTCATAAAGTCCTCATACTTTGCAGAGGTCATCTTTACACCGTCAGGGCCCCTAAAGGGGCTGACCAGCTCTGTTCCCATGATTCCGGCACAAAACATCACCGCCTTGCTGACATCGCAGCCTTGTTGGAACAGGGCGGCTGTCCACCAACCATCCACTACTCTATCCATCTGGACCATCCAGGGTTGCACGGCACTCATCAGTGAACAGGACTGTTTGAAAATTAGACTTCATGTATTTTTCTACCCAATGAAGCAGTTTCTGCTTGTGAGCATTGGTTATTGGTGGCCGAATAGAAGGTTTATGCACAGTTGCAAGACTCTGGAGTCCCACGGACATCAAGGTGTAGAGTCCTCCAGAGGCACCAGCAGCTTCAAATATCTGTTTGCTGCCATGTAATGGTATTTTAGCAGCTGCTCTCTTGATCCAATGCATGGATCTGGCAGAAATCTTCCTCAATGTGCCTTTATCTGCACGAACCCGTCTGTGCTCTGAATAAGCCACAAATCTCTTAATAGTGCAATGATCATGCTTAAGTTTTCGTGAAATATCTAATGTTTTCATACCTCGTCCAAGGCATTAAACTATTTCACTCTTTTCGGCAGCAGAGAGATCCTTTTTCTTCCCCATATTGCTTGAAAATGGTGCTCTGCTTAATAATGTGGAACACCCTCCTTTAGTAGTTTTTCCTTAAATTGGGCTCACCGGCCAATCTAATTATCACAGGGGTCCGAGATTGTTTTCAGTGATCAAAAGAGCCCTGACACACAATGCCATCCATGACTTAAACTGAAAAACAAAATATTTCATCTTTGTGATGCTTAAATATAATTTGCATAATAATTTGGAACACTGTGTATGGATTGAATGGGTTGTTACCAACATGTGGTGAAAATGTCATGTCAATAGTAACTTTATATTTAAATATTTTGTATATTTAGCCGTTTGCTTGGAGTTTCACTTTAAGATTATGGGGAAGCATGCTGCATCTATACCCAATTTCAGGGCAGGGCATAGCAAGAATGTAGAGTGCCACAACATATTTGGGCATATTGCTTTGTTACGATGATGTTGGTCTCAGTCAATTATTGTACAATCAACACTGCTGTACGATGTCTAAGTCTTTTGTTTTGGTTTCTATGATTGTCACTGCCACATTTTTCAATAAACCTTTAATTCTTTATTTAGAAAAAAAAAAAAAAAAAAAGGAATAAGAAAGTGGAGAGGATGCATTTTCTTTTCTTTTATATTTTTTCTTCTTCTTTGTTTGACTGTTACAATCATGGAAAGCCCATAAGCCTTAAAGATTTTTCTTTCCAAAGAAAAGGTAGCTTTCACATGGTAGATTTAGGTGTAGAATACATTTTACTGGAGCTTTCATTTGAATTACACATAAAGCACTGTTACCTTAATCTGTGCCAACAGGTTCTTCAGGATATTGTATAACTGGTCTGGATCCTTAATTTCCTTCCTGTAAAGATAATATCGATCATAATTTGAGTATAACAAAGCATTAAAATAGTATTTGCTGGTGCAAGATTTCAAAAACTGTTTCTATGCCAGTTTTGTGAAGGTGCCAAGGATTGAATCTCTCATCAGTCTTTAACTTTTGGGATTCTGAATGACTGAGCAATCTCTGCACCTAAATGCCAATTCTGCTCATTGCCCACATTCATTAAAGGATAAGTTCACCTTTGGAACATGTAACATGTTGCAGTTCTTGCCTCCTCTCTCCCTCAATTCCCCCTTCCCTGTTACAGCAGGTGAGGGATCTTCTCCCTGCACCCACTGTCACAATTTGAAAACAGCACAGCCGGGCAGGGCTCTGCCCACATTGCCATGTCATTCATTCACAGTTTCCTGTTAATGAATGCCAAAAAGTACAGCTTATAGTTCTAAATGAACTGCAGGGGCGCGCTGGTGTGCCATTATGAGGACTGAACAATATTAAATGAATGGTTTTAAATTTAATAATACTAGGTAAAAGAGCTGGGATATCAGTTATGTGCCTCCTTTTTACACTGGAAAAAAAAAAATCCTGCAATGACAAAATAAAGTTGGACCTCAAACCAGCAGATAAAAAAGAGGCTATTCTAAAAGAACAGTGGCAGATCAATGCCTGTCCTAAAAGTTCAGGACAGGCAAACCAGCCTTGCAATTAGTACTTTGGAGATTCTGTCCATTCTTTAACCACCTCCCGCCCGCCATATAGTACAATAACGGGCGCAAGGCGGTTCTCTCGTTCTGGGAGGACGTCCTATAACGTCCTCCCATTCTAACCGTGCATGCGCAGCTCCAGGAGTGCGCAGTGCGGTGATCAGCGGTGCGCTGTGTCCCTCGGAAATAGCGGATTACTGTTTAACAAAAAGAGCCAAAGATTTCCGCTCGGTCATGCGATCAGCTGTGTCCAATCACAGCTGATCACATGTAAATACGGAAATGCCGGTTATCGGCATTTCTCTCCTCACGACCTGTCACGCTGACAGCTCGAGAGGAGAGCCGGTAATCGGCATTCCGCAGAGGGGACATGTACACTTATCATCAGGGCACTGATGATCAGTGTGCCCTGATGATCTGTGTAGCCCCAGCAGTGCCACCTGTCAGTGCCCATCAGTGCCAGCTGTCAGTGTTCATCCATGCCACCTGCCAGTGCCCATCAGTGCACATCAATGCCACATATCAGTGCCCATCTGAACTGCCTTTCAGTGCCATATATGAGTGCTGTCTTTCAGTGCCCATCAGTGCAGCATATCATTGCCCATCACTGCAGCCTCATTAGCACACATCAGTGAAGGAGAAAAATCACTTATTTACAAAATTTTACAACAAAAACTAAGAAAAATTTTCAAAATGTTCAGTGGTTTTTGGTTTTAAGAAAAAATAAAAAACCCAGAGGTGATTAAATACCACCAAAATAAAGCTCTGTCACAAAAAAAAAATGATACAAACTTAATATGGGTACAGTGTTGCATGACCGCGTAATTGTCATTCAAAGTGCAACAGCGCTGAAAGCTGGAAATTGGCCTGGGCAGGAAGGGGGTATAAGTGCCCTAGGCTAGTGGTTAAAACTCCTTGCACTTCAAGTGATCACCGTAAGTAATAAAAAGGAACATCTGGATGGTGGCATTCAGAAATGGTGTTCTAGCTTTTTAAACTGAAACTATGTATCAGAAAGCTCTGTGGGCCCAAGATTAGAAAGAAGTGGATAACCCCCAAACATGGATTCAAAATACTTTAGATCATTTAAGAGCCTAAGCACACCTTTCATGACAAAGTCCCCACTGAATGACTGGGAAAGCATAGGCTAGTGATCAAAGGAGCTGCTGGAATGACATGTTCAGGTCACATTGAAATGACTTCTACCTCGTCATGGAATCAGAGTAAAATAATACATACCCCTTTTCCTTGCAAGATGGTTTCCACCCAGTTTCTCCTGAAAATAAATAGATGAATAAAATATCAGTGCTGCCACTAGACCTCTTACAGAAACACATCCTTTAGCGTGCTATTCATATGTTTTCAAACTTACTTATGCCTGGGATACATTCTACTGGGATCTGTCGTACACCCTCCTTAAAACATGTCAAGCCAGGATAGACTTTGCGGATCTGCGCCTGTCTGCGTTCAATCAATTTCTTAATGATCTGGATTAGAGAGACAGCAATATTTATAAATCATCCAGAGAGCCATGCAAATTAAAATCTCAGAAGCTGGGATCCTTTGGCATAGGAAGCACTATTTAACCACTTGCCGTCCGCCTGCTGTTTTTAAACGGCAGGGCGGTGGCACTCCAGGGGCGTGTTGCCGTTCATAAATGGCACCCGCTACTTCTAGTTGTGTGCGCTCCCTGGGAGCGCGCAGCACCGCGATCCGCTGCCCGCTGTGCCCTCCGAACACAGTGAAACACTGATCGTCGGACGGGACCTCTGTACGAGGTCCCGATCATGTGATCACTGATTGGCCAATCAGTGATCACATGCAAAGTAGTAAGCAAGATGTCACTTCTTACATCATTGCTTACTACGTGTGAAATCTGTGAATGATCACAGAGGTCACATGGTACAAGGCTATTCACAACAGCCTTGTACCATGTGCCAAGCTCTGACCAATCACAACTCACACAGTATTTCTCAATGGCTGCAAGAATGCAGACAGAGAGAAAGAGAAATGATTGCTTTTACATCCTATATGGGTGTAAAAGCAATCACTGTAAAAAAAAAAAAAAAAATCTTCCCATCACCCCCCACAAGTAGTACAGTGTCACCATGGTGACACTGTACTGCCAGGGTGATGGTATGTAAAAAAAAAAAATATAAAAAAATTAAATAAAAATGTAAATAAAAAATGTTTAAAAATTATAATTTTTGGTTATAAACTAATTTGGCTTTTTTTTTTTTTACTAAAAAAGATAAACGGAATAAATTTTGGCCAAGATTTATGATGAAATATTTATTTGCAAAATTTTATAAGAAAAACAAACACTTTTTTCTAAATTTTTGGACTTTTTCATTTATATAGCCAAAAAAATAAAAAATCCCAGCGGTGAATAAATACCACCAAAATAAAGCTTTATCTGTCTCAAAAAAATGGTAAAAAATTAATATGGGTACAGTGTTGCATGACCGCGCAATTGTCATTCAAAGTGTGATAGCGCTGAAAGCTGAAAATTGCCCTGGTCAGGAAGGGGGTGAAAGTGTCCGGATAGGAAGTGGTTAGACAGGCTGGGCGCACGCTTACCATAGCACCACACCCACAGTTGCTATTAAAGGAAAGCCCAGATCCAGCCAAAACCTTTTTTTGGGAACAGCAGGGAATGGTTAGAATGTGCAGGTTTTTTTTACTGTCTGTGTCTCTATTTAGGATATTTCCCCTTCACTACCTGTCAGAGCAGGAAAGGATGAAAATTCCTTCATCATAGGCACAGAAGAGAAAAAAAAAAAAATTTTTTTAGTAATGTGAGGAAGAATTAAAATGTCTTAAATGCCTTTCTGTCCTAGTGACAACCACATCCCATGCTTCTCTGGGCGTCAAAGGGACACAAAACAATTAAAAATGTCCCCAGTGGGGTCACAGACAGAAATAAAAACCTGATACAGATTTTAACTTTTTCTCACTCTATCCATAACTCATAATATCATTTTATCTGGAGCAAAGTTTTATGACAGTCAGCATAAATGAAAGGTGCTTGCCTATTGATTGCTATGGGCTACTGTACTTTTACTCTGCTCTTTGACTTAAAGTAAACCATTGTGTAGAAAAAAATAATACACATGTAGGCAGCGACTTTACTACTTTGAGTCCCTGACCTAAAAACAGGTATGCATTAGGTGAAGCCAGAAAGCAGCCAGAGCTCCTAATTTGTACACTTGTTTAGGGTCTATCATGCTAAATATATGGAAGCCATTTTTTCAGAATGGAAGGCAGTTTTTGAAAGCAGAGGCAGCCATAGGCAGCCTATGCATTTCATTACACTATGAAGAATTGACAGCGGCATAGAAAGGCTTGGAGCACACACCTCCTTCTGCTTCTTTATGATGTGGGAGAGCTCAGTGTATGGGATGCGAGGATTTAGTTCGCATTCCATCAGAGTGGCACCTTCGTAATCCTTGATATAACCCAGGTAGCGACTTTTGGGGACTTTGATGTCTTTGGAAAAACCCTACAAAAGGAAACAAAATAAAAATATTACATTCGGTGGAAAGATAAAACACAATGAAAGCAGAGGAACTAAAAATCTTATAAGCACAGCATTTCTGAAGACACCTCCTTGTTTTGTGAATAAAGAATATAAAACACAACCCATTCCTATGTGTTATGGACACAGACAATGCCATTCAATTTAACAATAGACTTGTCTTCCTATGAAATACACAATAAGAGCCTACGAAAAATCTGCACATGCTGATTTACAACCTTTAATGTAGGTACTTCAGAACTTTTCAAGAAAAGGCACATTGACATTATGCAAGTTGACTGGTGATTTTATCTTGCCTGTGCTTTTCCTTTAGGAAAAAAGAGAAAGATTATATTTGGCCATGAAGGTGGTTACATTGCAAAGGACTTTATCCAAACACACAGAGAAGCAAACGTCACACGCAACAGCAGCAGTTCCTGCCCTCTCTCAAACTACAGACTGCGGATGGGCAGGGCTATTCTTCTCAGAGAATAAGTGCAGGTACACTTCCACCCTCCACAGAGTCACACACTTGTCTCTGCCCAATACCCACCTCCAAGCACCATCCTTTGTCGCCACCCCCTACCCAACTACAAGTACTGCCCCCTCTAAAGAATCTACAATCAAGTAATTTGTGATGCTAAATAAATTGTGTGGAATTTGTTATTGATAACAAAAAAGGCAGTAAAATAGATTTCCCACAACAATAGACCTCCCCAGCACAACCCACAACAATAGACCTCCCCAGCAACAACCCACAACAATAGACCTCCCCAGCAACAACCCACAACAATAGACCTCCCCTCAGCAACTATTGCCCCTCTATCAGCAACAATAAATCCCCCCGCAGCCAGCAACAACAGAAGATCCCCCACTCTACAAAATAAGACCCCTCTACAACACTAGACCACCACCTCCCCCGGGTGACAATAGATCTTCCATTAGCCAGCATCACTAGACTCTCCAGCACACCCCAACACCCCTTACACATACAGTGCTGGAGGTATCAGAACTGCATACCACTGCATTCCAACTGAAAAGAAGCCATGGCAATGTGTTACTTAAAAATATATACTGCCGAAGTCGTATCATTTTGCTTAAATAAAGCCAAGTTAAATATTAATTCACATAATTAAAATTGATGTATTGACTATCACATCCCATCAGGGATCACAGTCACTAATCAAGGCTTTCCAAAATTTTACAAATGTATAGATCTCATCCCATGAAAACCACTGTATATAACCTGTCAAATTAATTCTCTTATAGTAGAAATCCAGCAGTAGACTCAATCTGACATTGTACTCCACACAAGCTGTCAGCTAAGAAAACTGGGCGAGAATGTAAACATCGAGCAAAACAGGTTTAGAGCCAGTGTAAAAGAAGTGTTAAACTAGTATCAACAGGTACGCATTTCATTAACCATTTGCCGCCCACCCTATGGCCCAATGGCGGGCGGCAAAGGTCATCAGCGTTCCGGGTGGACGCCACCCCCTACCCAACTACAAGTACTGCCCCCTCTAAAGAATCTATTGCCCCTCTATCAGCAACAATAAATCCCCCAGCAGCCAGCAACAACAGAAGATCCCCCACTCTACAAAATAAGACCCCTCTACAACACCATATGGCGTCCTCCCGCACATGCGCAGATTGTGCTCCTGCAGAGCGGTGCAATCTGTCACCGGCCGTGTACCTCGGACACGGCCGATGACAGATCTGAGTATCGGCCCCGTTGCCGGTACCATGTGACCAATCACAGCAGGTCACATGACAGTTGTATACAATGGATGGCTTCATTCATGCCATCCATTGTATACTAGTGTCTAGCTTTGAATGGTCACAGCTAATCACATGCACATGTCATGTGATTAGCTGTGGCCAAATCACAGCTAAGCACAAAAAAAAAAAAAAAACCCAAAAAAAAACCCTGAATCAATGTCATTCAGGTAAATGCTTGCTTATAGCAAAGTAATTCTTTGCTATAAGCAAATTGTGTAAAAAAAAAAAAAAAAATACTGATCACTTCCCCAAAGTAGTACAATGTTACTATGGTAACATTGTACTACTTTGGTCATAGTGAAATATGAAAAAAAATCTTAAATAAAAAATTATTTATATATATATATATATATATATATATATATATATATATATATATATATATTTTTTTTTTTTTTTTTTTTCCCCATACTGTCACCAGTCAGTGTCCCTGATCACCGCCATGCCAGTTATATGATGACGCTGTACTGCACTGGTGACAATATGTAAAAAAAAAAATAGTGAAACTAATTTTTTTAATTTTTTTCATTGTCCGAAAAATGACAAAAAAAATACAACTTCAAAAAACTCAACATGCCTCTTGTGAAGTACGTTGGACTGTCTACTTTGCAAAAAGGGATAATTTGGGGGATATCTGTACTGTTCTGACATTCTTGGACCTCAAGAAATTAGATTGGCTGTCAGTACTTCGGGATTGATCAATATTCAGATCGATACCATAGTTTGAGAACTCTATAACTTTCCTACAAACTAAAAAATACATCCTAATTTGGGTTATTTTCACCAAAGACATGTAGTAGAATACATCTGTCTAAATTTATGAAGAACAATTATTTATTTGCAAACTTTTATAACAGAAACAAAGAAAAACTTTTTTTTTTTTCAAAATTTTTGGTCTTTTGTTAATTTAGCAAAAAATAAAAACCCCAGTGGTGATTAAATACCACCAAAAGAAAGCTCTAGTTGTGTGAAGAAAATGATAAAATTTTAGTTTGGGTACAATGTTGTATGACCGCGCAATTGTCATTCAAAGTGTGAGCGCTAAAACCTGAAAACTGGCCTGGGCAGGAAGGTGTAAAATTGCTCGGTATTGAATTGGTTAAAAGTGACACAAAAGACACTAAGCTGAACCTCTTAGTACTGACATTTATCCAGGATAATAAAAAAAAAAGGAAAAAAAAAAAAAAAAAAAAAAAAAAAGTGCAATGGCAAATTTAAGGGCAAAGAAAAAGAAAGCATTCAATACCAATTCAGTCAAGTCTCCAACAGAAACCTTTTTACTGAACTGCTCTTTTGTTATTTAAAATTACCCAGCAGATACCCACCTGCTTTTTGAAATAGCCAATAGCATATTCATCTGCATATGTGAGGAAGTAAAGGATGTTGTGTTTAATATGGTACTCCTTTAAATGGTTCATCAAATGTGTGCCATATCCCTGAAAATTAAATAAAAAAATCAAATGATTACAAAAAAAAAGGCAGAAAACGCTATGCTTAAAATCTAGGGCCATGGACATGAATAGATGGCACAATCCATAGCTTTATGGGATGGATCAAATTCAATGTTAATGTCTATGGCAAACATATTTCCCTTTTTCTGTGATATACATAGAAAATGCAAACGAGTATTTAGTTAAAGGATAGGTTCACCTTTTAGACAAAAATACATGCACATTTCTTTTCAGGTAAAAAAAAAAATGTGCATTTATTATTTTTGTCTACAGGAGCCTGGAAAGCATTTCACCAGTGATCAGTAGATGCAGACCTGTCAGATTATCTGCTTGCTGTACAGGATGTACGAACAAGCAGATATTCTGACAGGAAGCTTCAATGAAATGGGCTGTGGAGCACCGTGGTAGTTCATTGAAGACTACAAGCCAACAGCCGCTAAGGCTGCCAGGACTTGTAGTTCATTCACAGAAGTCCGTGTTTTCAAATTTGACAGATAGTACGGGGAGACTGTCAAAGAGGGGGGGGGGCAGTGGGCAGCAGCTGCTGCGGCTAGGGGAACATGTTACATGTTCTACCCTAAAAACATGTTCCCAAAGGTGAACTTATCCTTTAAATAAATGTGCATCATTAGTGGAATTAAACCTTTGCAAAGAAGAAAAAAAAAAAAAAAAAAGGCTTTATTAAATCATAATGTACTAGTATGCACAGCATATTAACACATTATGGAAGACTTACCTTGGAAGTACTCCCCTCCAGCACTGCAGTATCAGTGCTCCTGAGGATCATGAATGCTTCCATCTTCTTGTGGTCTTCCTTTTGAGTTTTAACTTTTTGGCCACTTCATTGGCCAGGATGACATCACTCCCATGCATGCTAATGGAAAAAACATCTCGGCTCAAAGGCTTACTGCAGGGCTATCTTTAACATGGGGCAAAAGGGGCACCTACCAAAGGCCCTATCGTTGTGGGGCCCAAAGCAGCTGCCCCTGGAGCCCGCGCTGCCCGCCAGGGTTTTTCTTTGCAGCCAGAGTTTGCTGGCGCTGGTCACTTGCAGGCTGCACACTACTGTCACTTGTAAATACAGATGCAGCTCTTCTGTATTTACAAGTGATAGTGCTCTTCTTCTGATGGCCGTTCAGGACCCTCCCTGCTCTACACATCGATCACTATATGAGAGCAGTGAAAGCAGAGAGAGCAGAGGAAGGAGGAGGCAAGGGCTCTACACAGGAGGAAGCTCCTCTTGAAATCAGCAGCCTGCACGGACTTGCAGTAAGTTGTAGCTGCTCTTCTGCAGCCCCACTGTCTGAAGTTTTCTAGGTGGTGGGAGAGGATTTGGGGTGGGAAGAAAGCTCTCTAAGCGACCCTCAAACCCGGCCCTCCGCACACGGCGCGACCCCTCAAACCCGGCCCTCCGCACAGGCGCGACCCCTCAAACCCGGCCCTCCGCACACGGCGCGACCCCTCAAACCCGGCCCTCCACACACGGCGCGACCCCTCAAACCCGGCCCTCCGCACACACGGCGCGACCCCTCAACTCTGCACTCCATACAAAGCCCCCCACTCAAACCCTGCACTCCATACAGTGATCGGTAAGTATACTCTGTAACCTCTGGCAACCAGTCGCAATCGCTGCCTGATCTTCTGCAGTAAACTAATTTTGCGTCTAGCTTCCATTTATTGTGTCTCAGAGTGGGGGGCGCTTTGGGAGGGGATGGGGGCGAGCAAATTAAAAAGTTTGCCCATGGTCCAATTAATATTAAAGACAGCCCTACCTTGCTGTAGATGTATTCTGAACTGCACAGGGCAGGGAGAAGCAATTATGACAGGAGAGACCAAAATGGTCTCCTATGTCATACAGGTCCTGTCAGACATTTTGTCCAACTTTTAAGTTAATTCTGCATTAACAGATCTAAGCACAGCAGTCAAGCAAAAAGACACAATGTGTTATAAAGAACATAAAAAAAGGTATGCAAAATAAAAATCTACAAACCTTGACTTGTTCATTGGACGTAACAGCACAAAACACAATCTCTGTGAAACCTTGAGTGGGGAACATGCGAAAGCAGATGCCACCAATAACCCGGCCATCTTTAATAAGTGCAAGAGTCTTGTGTTTCCTACATAATAAAGAAAAGGAGTGCTGGGCAAACAATCAATGATCAATGTATTGTGTAGATTCAGATTTAAAAAAAAAAAAAAAAAAAAAGTAAAAATATAAAATTATGTTAATCAAACTGAGCATATGATGAAAAATGTTTGGTAGGTTATCAGCTGCTTGTCACCAGTCATACTGCTTGTTTTGACACTTTTTCACCATCTTTTGTTTTGTTTTACATAAAACCAAGGCTGTGCAGGTGCCAACTATAGTAGTAGTCAGAAATGTATAACATAACCAATGGCTAAGGGGAAAAGGACATATATAGACTGCACACAAGTGGCAGGATGGAGTAGGGGGTGAAGGTATAATTGACAGTTTTTATGAATTTATTACATTTTTAAATAGTAGCATCTAAAATACAGCATTTGAACAATTAAACATCTGTAGATTGTGTCTTCATCATGTTGATTCTTTTTGTGGAGATTGACACTAGCTCTCCTATTTTGGAAAATATTCTTCAGTAGCAATCCTGGTTCCTCTGCTTAAGATCTGTTGGAAGCTACTTGTGATAAGTAAGCATCAATTGTTTTTAAATTCAACCACCTTACCCATATGCAGTAGAAAGCATGTGTATCATTTGACAGATGGATCAACTTCATCGAATAAAGCAGTATTAAACCCAAACCATTATATTGCAGCATGCCAATTCTTCGATGTGATGGCTGCATTAGTTTTCTTTTTTAGGCTCTTTCCTTTATATTCACCTGGTGATCCATTATATTCACCTGGTGATCCAAACAGTAGGTCTGCTTTTCAAAAGAAAAATCTGTTCTGCAGATATAGCAGTTACAGGGATGATACAAACCATATTAAACACTGACAGGGGTGCTCACAATGCTCAGCATTTATGTAAAACCTTTACCAAAAAGAAAAAAAAATAGTTTGCGGTTACTGCTTATAAAGTGTTAGCTGGTGTTTGGCTTCAGTTTGTTTGTGTATTTAAATCTGCAAGTGCATCCAACACTGCCTTCCACCCAGACTGACAATGCTCATGTCCAATGGTGCCCCTGTGCTCCATCTAGAGTGGAGGCACTCTAATACAGGAGGTTACTGGCTAGATCACCAGGTGAAAACAGAGGGATAAAGACCTAAAAGAAGAAAACTAATGAAGCCACCACATCTAAGGATAGGTAAGCTGTAATTTTCATACATTTTTTTTTATTGGTGTAATACTAACCTTTCAGTGTCAATGAGCAAGAAAGGTATTAATAGATTTTTTTTTAGTTTATATCATACTGATATATATGGACTTTATTCATTTCCACTTTACATGTTGCAGTTGACTGTTCCACATTCATTGAATGTTTTTTTGATGCTTATATGTTTTCACTTTATGTGTTGCACTTGATTGTTCCGTTTATATTATTTACCTTATCGCTGTACCTCAGATCAGCAATGCACTTGATTACCTCACATTATTATTTATTTAATCTTAGCGTTGCTCTTTTACACCATATTTAAAATGAGTTGTTACCTTTACCTTTGTGCTAGCCGCTTTATATGTCCAGCACTCGCCCATGCACGATACTTATATTTGTCAGTACAATACAAATGCATGACTGGATATCACCAACATATGGAGCTACTGTTCCTACCAAGTTACAGTCCCTGCAGCACTTTTTCAAAACAGGAAAGACTGCATGCAGTTTCTGAGTAATGTTTTAACACTAACTTGAAAACTGGTTCCTAAGTTTTAGAGTCAAAGGAGGATATATACGTTTAATTCTAGATTTTTGTTCCTTGAATAAAAGGTCTTTAGATTCCCCCAATTCTTATATTATCTATAGTTATGCGTGTCTGAGGCAACCATCTTGTTTGGGAACCTAGGAGATCATGGAATACAAAAACTTGTGCGTACAATCACTAAATTAGTAGACACTCAACTGCCTGGCGGCTTATTGGATATAAATCATCAAAAGGCTGGATTCACACTGTTGCAGTGCATTAACCTTGATGCATTAAGATAGCCCATTTATTCTAGTGACTATTTAGCCGCTTTAAGTCCGCCCTGTAGCAGCAATACTGCTACAGCGCGGAGACTGCGCAAAATCATGTATATATACACGTGATCCGCGCTCCTCCCGCTGTGATCGCAAGCCGGGGGGGGAGCACACACCAGCCAACCCTGCAGTGCCGTGATTCGGTGCCCAAGAGATCCATCAATAGATTCAGGCCAGTGATGTTCGGCCTGGATCTGCTGATTGATCCCTTCCCTATTAGAGATCTTCCTGTACCTGGGTTTACATTTACACAGGTACAGGAAATGATGCAATCTTCTCTCCCTGCGTACATTCTGTCCCAGAGAAAGAAGAAATCAGATCCACGTGAGTAAAAAAAAACAACAACATTTTTACAGTATAATCACAGCTAGGTCACATTTAACCCCCTGATTGCCCCCCAGTTAACCCCTTCACTGCCCTGTCACCAGCGTCATTAGTACAGTGTACAATTTTTTTTTTTGCTGATCACTGTATTAGTGTCACTGGCAACTTCAGATAGTGTTAGCGTCCCTCCCAGATAGCATCAGATTGCCCACCACTACATCAGTCATCACATTTGACCCCTTGATTGCCAGGAACACGTGGCACCGTGCGACCTAACTGCTGGGGCTTCCCCCAACGGCTTGTAAATACCCTTCTGAGAAAGAGGGAAAAGCCTGCTTGACATATGATGAATTGCTCGCAGTGAAATGGAAGGAAAAATGGGATGTTTTTGTCCTGTCGTCCATTCACGCAGACACAACCATCCCAATTTCCTCGGCAGCTGGTGTTATTGAGAAGCCCTTCTGTGTCCACGACTATAACCTTAACATGGGAGGGGTGGACTTCAACGACCAGATGATGAAGCCGTACTTAGGTTTCCTGAAAAGCCAGACGCTGGTACAAAAAAAATGTCTATTTATTTCAATTGGCTCTATATAACGCATTTGTGCTTTACAAAACAACTGGACATAGTGGATCCTTCCTAAAATTCCAGGAAAAGATCATCACGGCCCTTTTGTATCCAGAAGGTGCTATGGCCCCAACCCACATGCAGTTAGTCGGCTGCATGAGAGGCATTTTCCCAATGCCATTCCTGGTATCCCCAACCCAAAGGACACCCCAAAAAAATATATCTGTAGCAGATATTGAATTATACGCGACACCTGCTTTTTTTTGTCCCTCCTGTCCTGGCCAACCTGGTCTCTGCCTCAAGGACTGCTTCCGTTGCTACCACACACTAGTGGAGTATTAGTATAGGGTACAGCACAGTCTAGGGCACATATATACACAGGGTCTTGAAAGATGTTAGGTAGTCAGGAAACTGGCTATCCCATTTTGAGAGGCCCTACCATCTGGTTAAAAGTTTAAAAAAATGTAAAAAAAAAACCCAAATAATTACATTAAAACAAAAAATAGTCACTTTATTTTTGTCAAGTTACTGTTTTACTATTACTGTTTTATTGTTAACCACTTCAATACCTGGCACTTTTACCCCCTTCCTGCCCAGGCCAATTTTCACCTTTCAGCATTCTCACACTTTGAATGACAATTGCGCGGTCATGCAACACTGTACCCAAACTAAAATTTTATCATTTTGTTCATACAACTAGAGCTTTCTTTTGGTGGTATTTAATCACCACTGGGGTTTTTATTTTTTGCTACGTTAACAAAAAAAAAAAAAAAAAAATTTTGAAAAAAACAAAACAAAAACACGTTTGTTTCGGTTATAAAAGGTTTGCAAATAAATAATTGTTCTTCATAAATTTAGGCCAAGATGTATTCTGCTACATTTCTTTGGTGAAAATAATCCAAATAGGTATTTATGATTTAATCAGTAGAAAAGTTATAGAGTTCACAAACTATGGTATATCTGAAAATTAATCAATCCTGCAGTACTGACAGCCAATCTAATTTCTTGAGGCCCAAAAAATGTCAGAACAGTATAGATATCCCCTAAATGACCCCTTTTTGCAAAGTAGACAGTCCGACATTTTATAAGAGGCATGGCAAGTTTTTTGAAGTTGTAATTTTATGGAAAATTAAGAAATTAAAAAAATTTATTTTCACAATTTTTTTTTTTTTTTTTTTTTTAACATACTGTCACCAGTGCAGCATCATCATGTAACTGGTGTGGCGGTGATCAGGGACACTGACTGGTGACGGTACGGAAAAAAAAAAATATATATTTTTTTTATTTCTTTTATTTTTCATATTACACTACGACCAAAGTAGTATAATGTTATCATAGTAACAGTGTACTACTTTGGGGAAGTGATCAGTTTTTGTTTTTTTACACAATTTTATTGTTTATAGCAAAGAATTTATTTGCTATAAGCAAGCATTTAACTGAATTAAATTGATTAATTCAGGTTTTTTTGTTGTGATTCGCCACGGCTAATCACATGACAGAGATTGGCTGTGATTGGCACAGCCTGTGCATGTGATCACTGTAACCATTCACAGCTAGACACACTTGTATACAATGGATGGCAAGAAAGGAAGTCATCCATTGCATACAACTGTCATGTGACCTGCTGTGATTGGTCACATGGTACTGGCAACGAAGCCGGTACACAGATCTGTCGTCAACCAAGTCCAAGGTACACAGCCGGTGACAGATCTCAGCACAGAGCGGCCCTGCGGGCACGCGCAAAGCGTGATCCGGGATGGATGTCATATGACGCCCTACTGGAGGGACGAGAGGCTCGCCCGGCTGTCATTTTACTATAGGCCAGACGGGAAATAGTTAACCATTGCTGTTCTCTTTGCAGGATATGCCATTCAGCTGCCGCATCGACTTGTTTATTCTGACAGCAACAGGGGGGTCTTGCTCTCAGAATATACGCAAGTGTGTGCAGTGCTGTTGGATGAGATTTTCAGCCTCAGTTAAAAAAAAGAGCATTATATGCCCAAGCATGGATGCCTGGGGTAGCCAGTGGGTGGATGGCCCCTATGCGTCGGTATATATTAATAGTTTGTCACCATTGCACGGGGCATGCACAGTTTTAAAGCATGTCATGTTTGGTATCTATTTACTCGACATACCATCATTTTGTATACTTTACTAAACAATTGACCAATATATTGTGTTATTGTGCATTAAAAGTAAAAAAGTGGGGCTTTTTTTAAAAAAGATTTGCGTTTGAAAAATCACTGCGCAAGTACTATGTAACATCAAAAATTGCAGCACAAACCATTTTATTCACTAGGGTGTCTGCTTTAAAAAAAAATATAATGTTTGGGGTTCCAAGTAATTTCTTCACAAAAAAATACTGATTTTTCCATGTGAAGAGAAAGTGTCAGAAAAGGCTTGGTCTTCAGGTTGTTAGAAGAGTGAGTGATGTGTGGCATAAACTTCTAATGCTGGGCATAAAATGCCCCCCTCCCCCAAATGGCCCTTTTTGGAAGGTAGATACCCCAAAGTATTCCATACTTTGTAGACGCTATAATTTACACACAAACCAATCAATATGCAGTTATTGGGATTTTTTTTTTTAGCAAAGACATAGCAAATTACATTTTGGCCTAAAATTTTTACAAAATTTGAGTTTATTGGATATTTTTTATGACAGAAATGAGAAAATATATTTTTTCAAAACTTTTTCGGTCTTTGTTTGTTTATTGCGCAAAAAAAAAAAATTCGATCACCCAGGGGTGATCGAATACCACCAAAATAAAGCTCCATTTGTGTGAAAAAAAAAGGACATAAATTTAATTTATGTACCATATTTCATGACCGCGCAATTGTCAGTTAAACTAGCGCAGCGCTGTATAACAAAAAAAACTGTAAATTCCAGTATCTATACCATAGTTTGTAGACTCTATAACTTTCACACTAAGGAATTACTGTATTTTTCGCTCCATGAAGACGCACCTAGGTTTTAGAGGCGAAAAACAAGAAAAAAAAATATTCTGAACCAATGGACTACAGGGGATGCGGACACAATAGAGGAGATGACCAGAGACTGCGGACACATTACAGGAGATGACCAGAGACTGCGGACACAGTTACAGGGAATGACCAAGACTGCGGACACAGTACAGGGAATGACCAGAGACTGCGGACACAGTACAGGGAATGACCAGAGACTGCAGACAGGGGGACATAGTACAGGGAATGACCAGAGACTGCAGACAGTACAGGGGATGACCAGAGACTGCAGACAGTACAGGGAATGACCAGAGACTGCAGACAGTACAGGGGATGACCATGACTGCAGACAGTACAGGGGATGACCAGAGACTGCAGACAGTACAGGGAATGACCAGAGACTGCAGACAGTACAGCGGATGACCAGAGACTGCAGACAGTACAGGGGATGACCAGGGGAGACCAGAGACTGCAGACAGTACAGGGGATGACCAGAGACTGCAGACAGTACAGGGGATGACCAGAGACTGCAGACCTTTGGGGAGACTGCTGAGGGGGAGCAGGTACAGGTACCTGAATTTGACAGGTACCCGCTCCCACTTCCGCGGAGTTGTCCTTCCCTCTTCTTCCCGGGCCGGCTTCTGTGACAGCCGGGTGCCCACTGCGCATGCGCGAGAAGCGCTGCGCTTTGTGAATGGCCCGGCGCCTTCTGGGACCTGTCGTGTCCCAGAAGACACCGGATCATTCACAAAGCGCAGCACATGCGCAGTGGGCACCCGGCTGTCACAGAAGCCAGCGCGGGAAGACTGTGCAGCGCTGGAGCGAGGAACAGGTAAGGCCCTGCAGGAGAGAACAGCTGAGCGGCCGGCCCGGTGTTCTGACATGGTGGCGGCAGAAATACCGGACTGGCCACTTTACATTCGCTCCATAAGACGCACTGACATTTCCCCCCTTTTTTGGGGGGAAAAAAGTATGGAGCAAAAAATACGGTAATATACACTTATTGGGATTTTTTTTACCAAAGACATGTAGGCAGAATACATTTTGGCCTAAATTTATTACTAACTTTGAGTTTACAATATATTTTTTCTAACTGAAACAAAATTTTTGGCCAATTTGTTTATAGCGCAAAAAATAAAAAACCCAGAGGCGATCAAATACCACCAAAAGAAAGTTGTATTTGTGTGAAAAAAAGGACATAAATTACGTTTGGATACAACATTGCATGACAGTGCAATTACCAGTTGAAATAGCGCAGCGCCATAACACAAAAAATGGCCTGGTCAGGAAAGGGGGGGGGGGGGGGGGGGGGGTAAATCCTCTGGAGGGCAAGTGGTTAATGCACCAAAAAAGGTGCATGTACTATTTTTTAAAATACAGCACACCAGTACCACTCCCAACCTGCCCACCCTCTGTCCCTAGCTCATCATTCCATAGTTTCCTGTTGGCCACAAGCCAAGGATGCTGCAAGTTGAATTACATCAGCGATCCCCAAGTGGTTCCTGAAGCAAGTGAGTCCTCTTCAAAATGCTAGTTAGTGACAATTTCATAACATTTCAGAATTATGCCCAGACCGCCGCTTTATTATTTACATTAATTCTTTAAAACAGAGAAGTGAGTTGAGTTAGAGCTAGCATTGAGTACAAGAACAAAGGTAGAAGAACTTGCTATACCACTTCAGTGCTTTGTATACAAACGCCTCACACTATTTCTGTGTGCAGGCTAAAGTACATAAGTGAGATAAACTAACAATTCAAAGTAGGAGGTACTGTGAAAAGAGAAAGGGAGGTATGAGGGCAAAGAAATGGTATGTCCAGAGATCAGCTTTTAAATGCTCACAAAAATCCAAAAGAAATGCAGGTAAGTTATTGGCTCCTGTCTAAATTGGCCCTAGTATGTGTATGAATGTGAGTTAGGGACCTTAGATGATTGTAAGCTCCTTGAATAACAGAGACTGATATGAATGTAGAAGTATGTGTAAAGCGCTGTGTAAAAATTGTGGGCGCTATATAAATATCTGCAATAAATAAAGCAAATGAGTGATAGCAAACTTATCCTTGAAATGCCAAAGACCTAACATTTTGTGCCTACAAAATTACTTGGAACGCCCAAACATTATATATTTTCTGAGAGCAAAGGCCCTGGCGAATAAAATTGTGGCTGTTGCATTTTTTCTGTTTGATTTGTTGCTGTTGTAATTTTTTTTTAATCTCACACATTTGGGCAGCCCTTTATCAAAATATACATTTTCTAAGCCCTGCAAAAGTGATCAGGAGGCTGTAAAGGTGCTCAAAAAAATATTTTCTCCTCAAAACACCCTTCAGCTAACAGTCTCAAAAATGTCTTAACGGAAGCCCAAGTTAAGATGATGTAGTAAGCGTATCACATCATAATAATGAAGTACATGGTTGGATTTTAATTAAGAATATCACAGCATGATAATATGGGGTATGAGAATGCCCCCCCCCCTCCCAAAATAATAATAAGAAAAAAAAAAAAAAAAAACAACACACACGGTTATGGCTTTTAGACTGACTGCCAATTTGGAAAGTGAATATATATCCATGTCCATGGAAACACATTAACCACTTGCCCTCCAGAGGATTTACCCCCCCCCCCTTCCTGACCAGGCCATTTTTTTGCGTTACGGCGCTGCATTACTTTAGCTGACAATTCCGCTGCACCCAAAGTAAATTTACGTCCTTTTTTTTCTCCACAAAATAGAGTTTTCTTTCGGTGGTATTTGATCGCCTTTGCGGTTTTTATTTTTTGCACTACAAAAAAAAAATACATTTTTGAGAAAAAAAATAATATTTTTGACTTTTTGCTACTAAAACATGTCCAGTAAAATTTAAAAAAAGAAGAAATCAAATTTAGTCATAAATTTAGGCCAAAAGGTATTCTGCTCCATGTCCTTGCTAAAAAAAAAAAATCCCAATACATGTAAAGGAATTGGTTTACGTGAAATTTATAGTGTTTAAAATGGCAGTATATATACTAGGAATTTTTTTTTAATTTTTACTAGTAATGGTGGCGATCAGCAACTTATAGCAGGACTGTGGCGGGCATTCTGACACTGGGGGGAACGGACTTGGTGTCACTGACATCCCCAGTGATGCCAATACAGTGATCAGTGCAATTATAAAAGCACTGACACTGTACTAATGGCAATGGGCAGGAAGGGGTTACCACCATGTGGGGCAATCAAAGGGTTAACTGCTGTTTTACTGGTGTTTCCCTGTAAGCACACTGCTTTGCATGGCTCTGCAAAACAGTGTGCAGGAGCTGACAGGAGAGAGAACTGTATTGTTTACATACAGTTCTCTCCCTCCGTCAGTAATGCTCCTCGATCACTGGGTGCCGGCAAGAAATCACCAGTCGAGACCCGATGATTGACAGCCGAGGCTGCGAATAGCAGCGCGGGTAGGACGCACGCCCCCTACCCGGAAATGCAAAATCACGTATATATACACGTGCTTTTGCACACCAGTGTCGCCCTGTAGCAGTATATCTGCTATAGGGCAGCGGGGGGGAGGGGTGGAAAGCGGTTAATTTCGGGCTTTGTAACAAAGCTACATGGTATGTGCTTCAATGTAAACTTGCTAATCCATGTATTCAGGCATAGAAAAAAAGAAATGGATTTCATTTACAGGTGATATTAAAATCAAATCTAAGTGCCAAAGTCATGCTGCTGACTTACGGGTCAAAGACGAGCCGTGTGATATATTCCTTGGGCATTCGTGGAAGTTGATGTGAAAAGACATTCTGCAAGCCAACAAGCCACATGAGAATCTTCTTGTTAGACTTCTGAGACAAAGAATTTCCAATTACATGAAACTCAATAATCCCCCTGCGCTCCTCCAGGCGTGCTGTCTCGTCTCGTGCGGCATTAGCAGATAGTAAACTTGTCTGATACAAAAAAAAAAAAAAATTAAAACACAATGAAGCTGGAGTATTCTGAATGCATCCAAAGGTGTCAAGATAGGATGAGTGACGCAGCTTTTGCACAGGCATTTATCACTCTATTCATATAATTTATCATCCTAACAATTCATATATAAACATTACTAAATTAAAAAAAACACCACAATGTAACATTAAAATATTCTGCATTAGCAAGTCTTACATCTGGACCCAGCATAGCAGCAGGGTCAGTGATGGTCAGCATAACTTCATTCACCAGTTCCATAGGAATATCACCCATAACCCGGATTCTCTTTGCATCCTCTATGGTTAGGCTGTCTGACAGTTTCCTTTTCTCTCCTGTGTGAAATAAAGAGGTTATTCAGCAGGTAATAAAAAAATGTAAATGTGTGACACGACAAAAAAACCTTGAAGTAAACCCTAACACCAACATTTTTATTATTTATTTTTTTAAGTTTTGGATAGAATGGGAAAGGGTTAGAATCCCTGTCAGGTTTTACTGCCATCCTGGGCTCTATAAGGGTCCCCATACATGTTACAACCTGACAATACAAGTTTTGTACTATCAACTTTAGATTTACCAAAACTATGTAATATGAGGACCTACGTAATCTAACCAATTAGCCACTTGCCGCCTGCCCACAGTAAATTTATTGCGGGCTGGCACCAGCTACAGGCTAAGTGATTTACTGTACGTCGCTCAGCACATGTGCACTTCCACAAATGTGCCTGGTGGACACAGTGCATCACAGTGCTCGCTACTTGGCCACTATAAGCGGTATCATGTGATCACCATGACCAATAAGAGTGATCAAATGATTACATGGAAGCAAAACTTGCTTACTATTGTGATTGGCCCACAGATGACACATGGCACCCTGTACCATGTGAGCATGTGACCATGTGACCATGCAGCTGTAGCCAACAGCATCACAAACGTAAGCAAGCTGTCATGAATGAAAGCTACTCAGGACAGTTAAAACTATTACTTGTAACAGTGATCAACACTGTTATAAGCAATAAAACAGTGATAAAAAATATAAATATACAGACACACATTGCCAACAGTATTGGGACACACCTCCAAATCACTGGATTCAGGTGTTGCAATCACCTCCATGGCCACAGGTGTATAAAATCAAGCCCCTAGGCATGCAGACTGCTTCTACAAACATTTGTGAAAGAATGGGTCACTCTCAGGAGCTCAGTGAATTAAAGTGTGGTAACGTGATAGGTTTCCACCTGTGCAATAAGTCCATTCTTGAAATGTCCTTGCTACTAAATATTGCATGGTCAACTGACAGTGGTATTATAACAAAGTGGAAGCAACTGGGAACAACAGCAACTCGGTCACGAAGTCGCCAAGCGTCTTCAGAGTCAGTAGCTAAAGACCACCAAACTTCGAGTGGCCTTCAGATTAGCACAACAATGCATAGAGAGCTTCATGGAATGGGTTTCCATGGCCGAGCAGCTGCATTCAAGCCTTACATCACCAAGTGCAATGCAAAGCATCAGATGCAGTGGTGTAAAGCACGCAGCCACCAGACTCTAGAGCAGGGGAGACGTGTTCTCCGAAGTGACGAAACACACTTCTCTGTCTGGCAATCTGATGGGCGTGTCTGGGTTTGGCGGTTGCCAGGAGAACAGTACTTGTCTGATGGCATTGTGCCAAGTGTAAAGTTTGGAGGAGGGGGGGATTACGGTGTGGGGTTGTTTTACAAGGGGTTGGGCTTGGCCCCTTAGTTCCAATGAAAGGAACTCTTTTTGGACAAATTTCATGCTCCCATGTTTGTGGGATCAGTTTGGGAATGGCTCCTTCCTGTTCTGCACACCAGTGCACAAAGCAAAGACATGGATGAGCGAGTTTGGGGTGGAGGAACTTGACTGGCCTGCACAGAGTCCTGACCTCAACCCGACAGAACATCTTTGGGATGAATTAGAGCGGAGACTGTGAGCCAGGCCTTCTCATCCAACATCAGTGCCTGACTTCACAAATGCACTTCTAGAACAATGGTCAAGTATTCCCAATTCCTAAATCTAGTGGACAGCCTTCCTAGAAGAGTTGAAGTTGTTATAGCTGAAAAGGGTGGGCCAACTCAATATTGAACCCTACGGACTAAGACTGGGATGCAATTAAAGTTCACGGGCGTTTGAAAACACATCAGGTCTCAATGCGGAAAAATCTCATGCCGAATATCTATACTGATATGGACTGGGTATTGTGTTAGGAATGTATGGATGCCACATTGTTTGAATTCAGTCCTCTGTAGGTTGATAATTTTCATTGCCATCAAAGACACCCAGAAAATCAAAGTGAAAAAAATGATGCAGCAGGCTAGTCCATTTTGCTGAGATTTCATTGCAGCAACTCAAAATGGTACTCAGTAGATTGTATGGCCCCCATGTACTTGTATGCATGCCTGACAACGTCGGTGCATGCTCCTAATGAGATGATGGATGGTGTCCTGAGTATTTCCACCAATATCTGGACCAGGGTATCACTGAACTGCTGGACGGTCTGAGGTGCAACCTGGCGTCGTCGGATGGACTGAAACATACCACTGAGGTCTTCTATTGGATGTAGGTCAGGAGAGCATGGGGGGGGGGGGGGGGGGCATTCATTGGTATCAATTCCTTCATCCTCCAGGAACTGCCTGCCTACCCTCGCCACATGAGGCCAGGCATTGTCGTGCACCAGGAGGAACTCAGAACCCACTGCACCAGCGTAGGGTCTGACAATAAGTCCAAGGATTTCATGCCGATACCTAATGGCAGTCATGTGCCATTGTCTAGCTTGTAGAGGTCTGTGCGGCCCTCCATGGATATGCCTCCCCAGACCATCACTGACCCACCACCAAAACGGTCACGCTGAAACAATGTTACAGGCAGCATAACATTCTCCACAGCTTCTCCAGACCCTTTCACATCTGTCACATGTGCTCAAGGTGAATCTGCTCTTATCTGTGAAAAGCACAGGGTGCCAGTGGAGGACCTGCCAATTCTGGTGTTCAATGGCAAATGCCAATCGAGCTCTATAGTGTGGCACTGAGCCCACTAGAGGACGTCGGGCCCTCAGGCCACCCTCATGAAGCCTGTTTCTGGTTGTTGTTTGGTCAGAGACATTCACACCAGTGGCCTGCTGGAGGTCATTTTGTAGGGCTTTGGTAGGGCTCATCCTGTTCCTCCTTGCACAAAGGAGCAGATACCGGTCCTGCTGATGGGTTAAGGATCTTTTACAGCCCTGTCCACCTCTCCTAGAGTAACTGCCTATCTCCTGGAATCTCCTCCATGGACATCAAAGGAAAAGGACATCAAAAGGGCCTTTTGTTAATGTGCTAGTGCACAAAACATGTTAGGGAGGAGCCAGGGTGTGACGTCACGCAGCTCGGGCCACACGTTTTATGCCGGCGGCCATCTTTGATGTCCTTTTCCTTACTGTGAGTGCTCAATGCTTGCTTGTTTGGATCTATTTATATGTGGCAATTTTATAATAAAATACTACACTATCAAGAAATTTCTGTTTTGGCTCGTTTGATTGCGAGCCCCCCTTCAAGGTGGATTTCTTTGCTGCTGCTTTGTACCTGCCTTTGAGAGAGGTCCCCCTGGTGGCTATGTATGATACCATGGTACAATGAGTGTGATCCCCCTTGTGGATGGCTGAGTGATTCCTGATCCCTGGAGGCTGATGATCCTTCAACTACTTGTCCTTCTGCTGGTTGGCCAGTTGAGCTGTGGATGTTCATCCTTCTGTTACCAGAGGACCAGGAGTGATTTAAATACTCAAGTGTGCATTTGTTTGCGCTATCTGGTTAGTGCAATCTACATCTATATATTCATCACCAGAGTCCCGATTTGTACCTATATATGGATTTGGGGACTTATGTGCTTGTTTATAACACTCTAATGTTGGAATTCACTACCTGCACATTATAAACGTCCTTTAGACGCTCATTGCACTTGATTTCAATTTTAGCGCTTTTATACCATTTCTATTATTTGTGTGTTCTATATTTTTTATTTGATTTTAGGAAGGTTTAGAGGATTTTGCCTTTATGACAGCTGCTTATTCCCTGCACTACCTAGAGCTCGTATACCTTTGCTATTGTTCATGATTTTCAGATAGATACTTGTAAAAAAAAAAAAAAATTTAAAACTAAATTTTCCTTCCACTTCACAATATGTGCCATTTTGTGTTGGTCTATCACATAAAATACATTTACGTTTTTGGTTACAAAGGTGTAAATTTTCAAGGGGTATGAATACTTTTTCAAGGCACTGTAACAGAATACATTTTGCACCAAATTTATCAAGAAAAATAATTCTTTGCAACATTTTATACCAGAACCTAAGAAAAACTTGTTTTTTTTTTTTTTTTTCTCAAAATTTTCTGTCCTTTTCTGTTTATATAGCAAAAAATACAACACCTAGTGGCGATTAAATACCACCAAAATAAAGCTTTATAAGTGTAAAAAAAAAAAAAAAAAAGTGATATAAAATTGGCAGTTAAAGTAGCACAGTGCTGTATAGCAAAAATATCCTGGTCATAAAAGGGGTAAAGCCTTTCAGAGGTCAACTTGCTAATCTGTATCCAATCAGGCAATCCCTGCTCTAGATAGCTGTTGGCAACTTTAAAGCTTACCCCACACTTTGCAATCTGATTGTACAATCTCCTTTACAGCCACTTAACCTCCCTGGCGGTATGATTATTTCAGATTTTTGGTGCTGAAAGCGGTACAATTATTTTGCATGGAAATATATTTTTTTTTTATTTTAGGGCTGTAATTTTTAGTAATAACTCACTGAAATCTGTCCGAACAAGACTCTAGTAAACATCCCGGGTATGATAAAATTTGAAACACTAAATCATAAATTATAATTTAATAAATAATCATAAAAATAATAATATAATAAATAATAAATTTAATTTAATAATATAATCAAACCAAAAACACTGA